TTGAGATGCTATTGTTCAGGAATTAACCGGGTTTTACGTGACAAAAGTATCTGATTTTATCGAAAACGGAATAGAGGCACTTTTTTTACTACATATGGATCCATTTTTAGTCAAAAAAGAGAGTGGGTCGATTCCCGACCTTATGCGGCCCCCTCCTTTGAAATAAACATCCACTAATATTTTTCCATCGACATTCCCTGGAAGCCGTCAGGATCGGTTTTCCATGACTTTCGGTGAACTTAATAATAGATGAGGAAAGTTCCGATAAACCATAGGTGGGGTCAAAAATTCAGTTTTATTTCAAAAGCTTTCCTTTTTCAATTGTTCAGTAATTTGAAAATTTTGACTTTAGTTTACAAACTTTGAGAAAAGAAAACAAGACATTTCGTTTGGTTTTCAAACCTTTTTCGAATGAGGTGTGTATTTCGAGAGTTTGAATCAAAATTGAGGTTTTTTGTAAGAGAGGAGTTTTAAATTTATTCGTCTGTTTTGTTGAAACAATGTTCAGAATGGATACAGAAAACACACTGCCCTGACTCTTTCGATCTTACATAACGCTCCTTTTCTGATTATACTGAAAATAATATATCTAGCAGGTGTTCTAAATTAGTTTGCAGTGTCTTTTTAAATATACCACTAACCGCAGATTTCTATCTTCTGCCGTTCAAGAGATATAACAATGCCCCGGAAGCCAGTAAGAAATCAAAAAATAATTTTAGAATTATTTTAAAAGAGTATTAGTAGAGGTAATCGACCATGCTGATCATCGTGGCAAGGTTTATTTTTGTTTAGTATTCTTTTCAACCCGATAAAAAAAGTTTCTTCCAAAAAAACTATTTATTATTTACTAGCTGAAGTACCCGGCGTTGCCCGGGAAAATTCAATTTTGCATACTTAACATATTGGAAAACGACGGTCTCGTATAAGTTATCGATCTTGAATGTTCCAAAACACACTTGGATTACCTGTCCCTTTTCAACGTTTTTTGCTTTTTTCGCATTTTAAAGCTTTTTAAATATTTTTATTCTTTCAATATGTTTTTTTTCTTTTATGGGCTTCTTTCATTTAAGAGAAACTGTATGAGAGAACACACTGGAAACTGCAGACGCTTGAATTCAAAGGGCGTGCCAGTAGGAATGATAGGTATTCGCGGTATGAATACATCCTAACCCTTTGCGCAGCCTGTCAAGATTGCTGCTTCAATAACATGAGGTATCAGACTTTTCACACATAGTCTTGTACCATTGCGTAGTCTTGGTGCATCCAGGTTTCTCAAGAGCATAATGGGAGAACCAAGTTTGAGTACCAAGTTATGTGGAGGCTCGAGAGAGTTAAGGAATTCAGAGGGATATTAAGATGAGAAACACTATAGTGAATATAGTTCTGACACAAAAGAACAATAGAAAAACCAGCCTATATATGTATAGAATATCGTGAAACATTCCGAAAGTGTCATCGGATAGTATGACGTGAAAATTCCAATGACGATATATGATGCATCAAAAAGAATGTGGTACATCATGCGCTTGATGTATGTTGAAAAACAGTCGCTTTGATGCATGCTTTGAAAAATCGCTTTGAGAACTACTCTAATAAATTCTTTTGGTGAACTCCTTGAATCAGTTCTACGTTAGTTTAGCGTTAAAGAAAACTTCGTTGTAAAATGTTGTTATTATTTTGAAACATTTTCATTGAAAACTTAATCAAAAGAATATTACTGACCATGAAAATATACTAAAATCCGGTTGAGGTAATAGAAGACGGCGGTGTCAATGCAGAGGATCAATGATTGCAAGACGAATGTAGAGAGCATCAGTTGTTGAATGGATGGGGAATCTATTAAATAGGACTTATCGTTCAATGACCTGATGTTTACTCGCTCTTTCTCTTTTCTCTTACATGCGCCTCGCGAAGCTATACTCATTCGATACAGCATAGGACGCAAAAAAATACACGAAAAGATCAACTGTCTGTTCGACTCTAGAGGTGAAGATGAGAGTGCGACGAGCGGTCACACACCCAACAGCGCTGGAAAGAATTTACAATGCCTCGTAAACTTACATTATGTGAGGTTATAGAAGGGCGTTCGCTTTATTAGTGTGAATCATCGCATTATGCTCAAAGAAACCAAGTTGACGCTAAGCGCCTTTTCTGAGTTGAGAGACTCAGCAATAGACCAGAAAAATGACACAACGAAACTCTTTCATCAGATCTGATGAAAACTATCAAAACTTCTCCAGTATTGGTATGTTCTCGGCTTGGCTAGGCTAAGTCGTAGAATATCTCATTCTATTGGGTGATTCCGCTGAATATGTGGCACGTTTACATCGACGTCTTTCGAATCGAATTTAAACAGTATAGTCGTGTAGAGCGCTTACGATAACCTAGATTTACCGTCAACAGCTCCTCTCCACAATCCTTCTTTGAGGAATGCCGAGCGTCGCTCAAAATGGTCGAAAATCACGATTTTGGCTGAGACCTATGGCACTTTTTTTCAATCGAGTATGAATAGTTCATCCATAGGACGTATGAACACTAGACATGTATATATCGTTAGAAAGCTGATGAAGCGCTGAATCGGAAAACATCTTCAGGATCTTCAGTTGAATGTACTTTAAGAAAGTTATTGAGTCTACGCTGGGAGGACTACACTCATGAAAATACCAAAAAGGCGTTGACTATATCTTTTGCCAGCAGAATTCCGCATAGTGGGATATCACGTTTTGTAGGCCAGAGTTCCCTTTATCAGCCTACACCAATGACTTTTCACGGGAGTTTGAAAATCTCGAAAATTTCATTTAACATGAATTTCGCTGTATTAGTCGCCAGTTTTCTTAGGAATTTTACAAATCATGTACAAAACATTGGAAATGTTGAGGAAATCATGCACCAGTACTCTGATCCATCGTCACTAAACTGCTCGTATTGATATTGAAAGATTCCGTAGACATCGGAGTACCTAAGGCCACGTTCACACTACAAATTTTTCAGAGTTAACTCCGAGTTAACTTCGAGAGCGTTCACACCTAAATCTTTAACACACCAATAAGATTTTGATATTTCCCCTAAAATTATGCTGCTTAGGTTGCAGCTTGCTAACAGCCGGCCAGTTTGAATTTACGTTCTACATTTGACTTTCTAAGCTCAAACAGAAAAATTGAGTCGAAAATCAGATGTTTGTTTGCCTATAAAACCGGCGCTAACTCCCATGTCTAATGGATCCATATTATTGGTTACTGAGCTCAGTTTATGGTTGGAGAGTTAAAGTTAAATGATGTCCGAAACATCATTTAACTCAGAGTTAACTTTTTGACCAATCAGCTTCGTTTTTGCTCATTTAACTTTTGTAGTGTGAACGTAGCCTAAATGGTCAACTAAGTGCATAGTAGTGTTCTCAGGTGCTCAATGCCGTGTGATAGAGTCTGTAACAAAAACAATCATGTTTTGCGCGGGAAGCATCCTCCTCACACGTAAGGGAAGTTAGCAGCAGATTTCGGTATTTTCGCCTAACATTTTTTATGAAAGCTGTGCCATGTTTGGAAATAAGTGTGCCAGATAGAACTCGATGAGCTCTATCGAATGGCAAAATCAGTTTTCCAGAATCTTGTTTCCTTCGGTTTTAAGATGACAAATACTGATTTTCTCAACGAGACGAAAACTCAAACTTTTGTATTTTCGCCTAACGTTTTTTATTAAAACTGTGCCATCTTCGGAAATAAGTGTGCCAGATAGAACTTTTGGGGGTATTCACCCGCTGTATGTATGTAACCTAGAAACAGTTATTCATCATCAAATAATTATCGCCCTTCTGATCAAAACAGTATACCCACATGATGAGGTCCAGCTTTACTAGCAAATGTCTTCTTGTCCATCAGACAAGACTCTTCGTTTCCGCGCAGAAAACCGCTGTTATTTCGGTTAGATGAAAGGGGCATTTAGATATTAGATTGTAATAGATACCGCTACTAACATAAAATACTCACCTATCACGATTTTCGAGAATGTATCTGATGTAAATAACGATTGTCGTGCAATTCTAATTTCTTTATAACAACCTTCATCAAAACGAAATTTTTTTCTATATTCTTTTATTGCTGTTTTGATAACATCGATTGTGGGAACATAACTGAAATTACCAGCGCGGAGAAGAGGCTCATCGGCTTTCCGGATATTGTTTTCGTATACATTCAACGGGTCAACATGATCTGCTTCTTCAGCTGAAATAAGAAATGAACTTGTAGTAATATCTGGTACATTCTAAAAGGTTTTTTAGAGTTTTAGTAAGACATCGAGAAACATCTTTTAAGAGACGAAGACTGCTTTCTTATGTCTAACGTACCTATTTCATGCCTTTGATTACCAGATAATGGACGGCTGACAACCTCATTCTTGTGGTTTTCATCTCCCAACACTTCAACACAAAATAACAACGCCGAACGTTTTGATGGTTCAGCATGTAATTTAACAGATACGCAGATACTGCATTTTCTATGCTTGCAACGAGCAACACAGGAAAAGAAAGGTGATTTGGTTTTTTGAGAGTGTTTTAATTTGATATGATGGTATTCAAATATAAAAGTACATGTTAGTTTTGTTTCAATTAATTTTCTATTAATTATATCACACCAGTTCTTTGTCAGTTTCCATTCTTTATGATTGAAAAATAATTTAAACTCATCATATCTCATTGAAAAGCACAGAGTTCTTTTGTGAATTATTAGTGGTTTATCATTAACAAGATGAGAACGAGTTACTTTCGGTTCTGCGGATAAATTCGTTGATAATATTGAATGGTTTACTTCTGAAATATCTAATGGTGCTGGTAAATTTGTGACTATCTTGTCTTTAAAAAATGTGGTTCGAATTGAACGACGATCCTGCCTCCACACGGTATAAAGCCATTTTCTGGCACTTGCATCTTTTTTAATTGATTTTGAATTTTTCGCCAGACGTCCCCATATGGATGATTCTTCTCGTCAATTGTTGTGGCTATCTAACTCCCGATAATCTTGCCCTAACTGTTTAATAATTGTAATTAAGTCATCAACGCCATCAACCGCCTCCCATCTATTATCAGACTCATTGACCTTGTTTCGAAAACTTCTCGAAAATGTTTTGATCATTTAGAACACAGATACTGGGGTTTATGGTTACATAATTTTACATGTATTCAGATGAACGAAAAGTGTGATGTGATGCGTAGCAATTTTCGTAAGAAATATACAACATATACTGTTTAGCTATTTTTTCCCATTAAAGCAGCTTTATTATCTTCTGTTCAATAACATAAAATTATCATACATATTTTTCGACAGGTTGTTTTTTAAACTTGATTTTATCTTAATCCTTTCAAGAGTGTAGAACGTCACAGATCCACAGATTGCACTCTCGTTCTAATAATGCCCAGTTATGATCAGTGGGAAAAATTAACTGTTAAAAATGAAAAGAAACTCATTCCACCACTGGCTCTTGTTCAAGTACCACAGAATTCATTTATTGCATGTGCTGATGGACAACTTAATTTATACGGTGCTCCTGTCGGTACCTCAAACAGTAGTCTCGTTATACTTCAAAATGATACGTTGACACGACCGGATATTGATGTGTTTAACATTCAGAAATATATTAATGACTCAGATGACATAAAACTGCGATTTATTATCAGGTATTGATGATATAATGCATTATGTGGAACAGATTTCATCCTCCGATAATTCAAATATTAAAATAAAGACATGGCATAAAGTATATTATTCTACAACATTAATGGTGGCTGGCACTGTGGCTGTTATTGTTGTTCTTATTCTAGTCGCAACTATAATTATTTCTTTATTCAAGTTTAAAGTATGCAGAAAGAAAACACCATCTAACAATATTGAAATCAACCTGCCCAATCAGTCAAACCCAATTAATCAAACCCATTATTAGACTATTTCTATCAACAATTGTTAATGCAAACAAAACAGAAACAGACGAAACAGATAATAAAATTACCCACGATACATAAATGCTTAAAATGCATGACCCAATGATAAGAAAAATGCTAGATAACACTTTTTTCACACTATTGTTAAGTAGAAGAAAATCAGTATTTTCTATTTTAAACCTCAAGGAAACAAGATCCTGGAAAACTGATTTTGCCATTCGATAGAGCTCATCGAGTTCTATCTGACACACTTATTTCCAAAGATGGCACAGTTTTAATAAAAAACGTTAGGGGAAATACAAAAGTTTGAGTTTTCGTCTCGTTGAGAAAATCAGTATTTGTCATCTTAAAACCGAAGGAAACAAGATTCTGGAAAGCTGATTGTGTCATTCGATAGAGCTCATCGAGTTCTATCTGGCACACTTATTTCCAAAGATGGCACAGCTTTAATAAAAAACGTTAGGCGAAAATATCGAAATCTGTTGCTAACTTCCCTTACGTCCTCCTCGCAATGATTGCAGTCTCAGAAAAAGCATCTGAATTAAATTACTGAATTATTAGCCAGATACATGAGACATGTATATATCAGAATATGATAGATAATCATTTATGTCGATGCGTAAAGAGATTTGAATCAGCTGGGAAATCATTGGTTGTGCCAGACGAACCATCGGCATTTGATAGAGGATTCATCTTTACGTTAGTAGTGTGCTATGGACCCCAGCCAAATACTTTAAAAAAGAAGAGGATCACTGATCGATTTTTAGAGACATTATCACCCTTTGATAGACTTGTCACTGGCAACTCATTGATACAGTATCACTATTGGAGAAGAAGTCTAGCTGGGAAAAGGCTGTTTCTAAAGTGACAAATGCCATAGGTCCGGTCGTGAAATGAAAGCGAACTGCGCTTTCCAGTCATTTCTGAGAGGTCAAATAGAGGCTCCACTATACTATGAGTAGTTTTCCCCTGTACTCGCCCTAACTATCTGCGATACTAATATAACGGATATCGGTGATTTGGCTGTGTTCAAGACCTATAAACTATCGAGAAACGATACATAGTAGGGGCGGCGCTTTACCGTTTCTTTACAGGTAACGCAGTAACGCATGCGTTATTGCGTTACTGATAACGAGTAACGCATGCGTTATTCGTTACCAGTAACTACTAACGAGATGCGTTTATTTTTCATAGCTTTTGTAACGAGTAACGCAGCGTTATTTGCGTTACTTTTCTAGTAACGCAGTA